GAAGTAGAGGGAGCTCAGGGGGCCTGTTCTGAACCCTGGTGGCCTCATCCACACCCTCACCTTCGGGGACTGATCTTTGCACATCCTCTTGTCCGTGGAACTTTCCAGGACTCGTCCCCACGGCCTTCGCAGCAGTACAGCTCACGCTCCTAGCATCTCTGCACTTGGTTTGCACCAACTCCTCCTCACACGTGCTGGGACGGCTTCCCGGGAGGCATCAAGGCACCCTGGCTAAGTGAACCAGGCTCTGTCCAGAGGGAACCGGCCAGGCCCACAGGCCTCTGCTATAGCCCCGCTCCAGGGCATCCCTGCAGGCAAGGGGAGAGGAGGGGAGGGGCGGCCAGCAGGCTGAGCGGTGCAGGCCCAGCCAGCTTTCCTGTCAGACGGGCGCTGCCAAGGCGGAGCCAGACATCGGAACAGGTTTAACCAATTACCCGAGCGCCCCATCTGCTGTCTAGGGTGTGTGTGAGGGTGAGTGCATGTGAGGGTGTTTGGAGTGTCTGGGAGGGCTGTGGGCGTGCGCGTGAGTGTGACTGTGTGGGTGCCTGTGGGCGTTCGGCTGTGCATGTGTGCGGCTGTGCACGTGTGCCGTCTGTGGCTGCGTGGCCCGGTCATGCCCCCTCATTTGTTAAAAGCTGTGGCTACGGCTTACAGTCTTCCTGTCCCCCAGATCTTAGGGTCTGCATGGACAACCCACCTAGCATCCCAGCCTCTCATTCCCTCATCTCCCCCTCACCACCCTCTCTCAGGGATGATCAGAGCCCAGAATGGGGCCTTCTCTCAAATCACACATTCGGATGTCTTCCCGTCGAACCCTGAACTCTTCCCATTCGCTGGCTCGCTCCTTTCCCTCTGCAGCAGTGTGGCACCTTGTGGGGGCCCCCAGGCCACAGCCCCCTCTGGTCTCTTTCCGACACACCCATGTCCCACTGTTCCTTGGTTGCACCTGTCTGGCAGAATTGAAACCCTGCTTGAACCTGCTTCTCCACCCGCCCGTGCAGTTGAGTCCATGAGGACAGCAGGCAGGTGTGCGGGATGGCGCCCCTCGATGTTTCAGGTCCCAGCCTCAGCTGAGGCCTCGCCCTGTTGAAAAGTTCTCTGCTGCCCTCCCTCCAAACCTCTCTTCCCCCTGACTCAGCAGAGGGCCTTACTCCCACCTTCAGAGACAGTCCTGGAAGGGGACACCTTTGCATCGGTCAGATGGTACCTTCAATTAGAGCACTTGGAGAGTTTACTACAGGAACAATTAAATTTCGGGGAACCCACAGCGATGGTGCAGTACCCCAGAGCTGGTAACAATGGGGAGCCCATATGGCCCTGAGGCCTGAAGAGGAAGGACCAGCGGCAGCTACTGGAACCTGGAGGAGTTGGCTGGAGAGGGCCCCCAGGTAGGAGCTGTAACCTTCAGTACAGAGAGGCCCAGAGATGGCAGGAGGGACAAGGAGGGAAAAATCCCCCCGTGTCACTCCTCCAATCCCCCAGTTTCCTGCTGGGACTCCTGGTGGTGGAAGCCAGCCAGCCAGCCCTTAACTTCCAGGGACAGAGCAGGTGGACAGACACAGAGTGGATCTGGAGGGGCGGGGGCTCCTTACCCTCAACCCCACGCTGCCTGCAGCCAGCCCATCCTCTCCACCTGCCTCCTGCCACCACCCGCCACTTTCTCTCCTTCGGGCCCAGGAGAACCCCACCCCTAACCCCCACCTCCAACCTGGGCTTCAGAGTCTCCCTGCCTGGAGCAGCTCACTGCTAGGCTGTTCTTCCTCTTTCTGTGACAGTCTCTTCTGATTCTTGCCTGAGGGTCCACCTTCTAAGCACCCCATCAGCTCCATGTCACAATGCCCCACTTCTGCCCATCAGCTAAATTTCATGAAGGAATTAGCTATGCCGGCCATCCATGGGAGTCCTACTGATTTCTTAACCTGTGAAGATCTGTCTTTTGCCCTGACCACATCCCACTGAGGCCCTTCTCTCTGGGTCCTCCATGGGGCCCGCCTTGGTCCATGTCTCCCTTCACCTGTCGGCTTCAGTGAGGTACGTGGAAGCCCCTTCTACCTGGAGCACTCCCATCAATGTCCTCTGAATACCATGCCCTCCCTGCCTTCTTCGCCTCTTGCCTTGGTGTGCTGGGGCCCCACGACAAAGCACCTCAGACTGAGTGGCTTCGACAACCAAAATTTATTCCCTCCCAGCAACGGAGGCTGCCAGCCCGAGGTCAGGGGTTGGCAGGATGGGTTTCTTCTGAAGCCTCTCTCCTTGGCCTGTGGACGGCGCCTTCGTCTTCACAGGAGCTTCTTCCTCTAGCATGGCTGCATCCCAATCTCCTCTTCTTAAAAGGACATCAGTCATTTTGGATTCTCGTTTGGATGAGAGCCCACCTTCATAACCACATTTTAACTTAATTACTTCTGTAAAGACCCTGTCTCCAAAGACAGTCACATTCTGAGGCACGAGGCATTGGGACTTCAACAGATGACTTCTGGAGGATGCAGTTCAGCCCTGACACATCCCTTGTGGCTGAGCTTCCTTGTCTCTGCCCAGGCCTCAGAGGTGGGGCTCCTCAGGGCTCCATTCCAGTCCTCCTCTTCTCACCCCACCTCCTTCGCCTGGGTGGCCATCTCTGCTCCTCCAGCTCCAGATGCTCCCTAGACATGGATAACAGACACATCCACATTTCCCATCCCCACCTGTCTCCTGAGCTCCAGACCAGCAATTCCTCATCTCTTGGTGTCCAGTTGGTTATCTCCCAGGAGCCTCCGATGCCTTGGAAATTGGAATGCATCCCCTTTCCTGTGCGTTTGTTCTTCCTTCTCTGTGCCTTAGCTCAGAAATGGCCCCTTCTCTGCTGCCTACGCCAGGAACCTAGGGTCATCCCTTACTTCCCTCTGCCACCCTCACAGAGAGCTGAGCAGTCCTGAATCTTCACTTCTCTCCTTCCCAATCCCCACCCCCACCCCCACCCCCACCACATGGCCCAGGCCCCATCTTCCTCACCATGACCACCACAGGGGCCCCCTCACCCAGTCTCCCCAACAGCCTCACTGTGTCCACTCCACCCGCCACTCTGCAGCCAGGTCACTCCACTTCTCTACTTAAAGCCTCTAGGGGCTCTCTGCTGGCTTTGGCCCAGCAGCACCTGGCCACACCGCCGCTCCTGGATCTCCTCTCTATTCTCTAATGACATTGAGCTGCTTCAGGGTCCTGCAGTACTGTCCCTCCTCTGTCATGCTAACATATGAAGAGGAGGAGAACCAGCATCCGTTGGCCTGGGATGGAGGGCTGGCCCCTTCCCTCACTTCCCCATGGGTTTACATGGGGTCTTCCAGGAGAGCGTCTGGTGGTCTGGGGCCTGTCTGTCCATTTGTCCATCTTCTCTTTTCCTTTGCTCTCTTCTCCACCCCTCCATAAGGCCCAGGGAACTGGGGTGGGCCCCAGATTCTTGCTGTGGCTGAGGAGGTGTCCTCGTGGGGAAGGGGAGGAGAGACTGGCCTTGGCCTTAGGCAAGGCTGCCAACGGCTGCCTCAGTGTGAGGGGTGGAGAGTGAACACTTTTCAGCCACTGCTCGTAGAGACTCTCGGTTCTGCAGGGAAGGGTGGATACGCAGGGGTGAGGCCTTGGAGGAAGTAGCTGAGGCATTCCTGTTTTGGGAGCTAATTGGTGGCAGAGGGATGGCCAAGATAGTAGAAGCTGCAGCAGCTTTCGGGAACTGAGGGAGCTATGAAAATGAGGCTAGGTCCCTGGGGCATCAGGAAGGGTCACTTATCGTGGCACCCATCCCCTCACATTCTGACTCTCCTTCTAACCGTGGCCTGAGTGAGAGGAGGGAGGTCCGATGGGCCAGGCAGGGGGGGATGGGGGCAGGGGTGGCCACATTCCTGGAGTGTTAATGATCTCTGGTCTGGGCAGGAGCTGAGCCCCCAAACCAGCTAAAAACAACAAACAGCTCCCAGGAGGGATTTGTGTCTGTCCTGAGAGTCAAGGATTTCCGCCTGACCGGATGGAGGCTGTGGCCTGTGGAGCTCTTAGCAAAGAAATTCCCCAGAGACCAGCATCCTCCTGGCCCAGAGGCATCACTTTGAGAACAGCCCCCTCCCCTACCCCTTCTCTCCTCCCTCTCTAGTGGGGAAGGGTCCAGCACCCAGGAGGGGAGGCAGGCTCTTCCCCACACACCTGGGAGCGGGAAGATGAGTCTGGGTGCATTCCTCCTCCAGCTTCCATCCTTACCACAGCCCAGCGAGTGATGCTTTCTTGACATTTTATAAATAAGGACACCAAGGCTCAGTTACAGTAGATGTCAATAAACATCTGACCAAATTGATGAGTGAATAAAGGAAGTGTCTGGCTAGAAGCTCCAGTCACGCTGGGCCGAGCTGCAGCTGGAACTGGGGTCTGTCCGAACCCAACCAGGATGGCTTTCCACCTCCCTGCCTGCTTCTCTCTGCAGGGCTGGACTTGAGAACTCTGGGGGCTGCCTGGAAGAAGAGGAACCATTGCTATCAGGAGATGCCCAAGTCCTAGCCCTAAGGGATAGTGGAGGAGTTAAGAAGGGGCAGACCTCTCAGGGCTGGTACCATACACACTGCAGCCATGAAGCACCTTTCCACTTGGCTCAAACCTTCCCTTCCTGGGAGGCCTCTCCTGGCCCCAGGTGGTCCAGGAATGACCCCCTCCGGTCTCCCAGCCTCATCGATATAAACAGTATGGGAATCTAACCAAAAGTCTTATTTACTCACGTTCCTTGAGGGCGGGCTCCTTAGTGAGTGCTCAACAACAGCTCTGTAAGGGGATTCCTGCAGAATTTCACCCTCCTGTGCCCTCACATGGTCTCCATCCTTTCCTCTTCCCTTCCCTCTGGGCCTCCCAGCTGGCCCGATCCAGCCTGGAACCTGGGTCTGCACCTTCCTTGGGGGTCTTCCCACAAAATCCTCAGACAGTCCTTCCCTTTTCCCACTGGGTTCCATACACCAGTCCCCGTCCCACCCACAATTCACAAAACCACACCCTGACGCTTGAAATCCTGTATTTATTGCCCAAAGCTCATTAGTATTACACAAATCACATAGATTGAGAAATTTTCTGAGAAGGTTAAAAAGACACTGCAAAGGCCCCTGGGAGTGGCTGAGGCTTGCGTGCGGGGGCCTCACTCTCACTAGGCCAGGCTTGAACATCACCCTGGGTCTGTCTACGGGCCTTTTTCCTTCTCTAGGCTCCTGCCCTTCTCCCAGGCCAGAGGCCAGAACACGAAACAAGTTGGCTCATAACCAGGAGTGAAAGGGGTCTGTCGACCAGCTTGACTCCATGGCCAGCTTGACATCTTGGTCCCTGCCCCCTCACATTGCTGTCTGGAAATGGAAGAAGGGCATCCCCAAGCCTGAGGGAATGTTTGAAGTGATCAGCGGAGGGCCAGGCAGGGACACCAGGGATGGAGAACCACTGCAGGTGTGGGTTGTGTTCCGGCACAGCTGGCCAGCCCTGCCCTGACTGTGGGTCCAGGCATGAACCAATCTGCCCCTCAGGTCTCCCTTCCTCTGGCTTCAGCAGAGTGGGGCATGGGTGCTGGGTGAAGGTTTCCCCTCATGGGGCTTTCCAAAGCCAGACCAGGGCCTACTGGCATAGCCCACTGTCCCTCTGTCACTCTCACCCTGGGCTATCTGGATCCTTTGCCACTGCACCGCCACAGGAGCAGACCCCTCGGCTCACCTGAAGCTGCATTTGGGAGCATGACAGAAATCATCCAGGAGACAAAGCAAATAAATTATGAGATGCTGAGGCCACAGGCTGGGCTAGGGCACCCACCTCTGCCAGGCCTCCGGCAGGCGCAGGGTGGGGAGGGGCGGTGGGGAGGCAGTTTTGGTCCCAAGATAAAGTGCACGAGGATAAGAGCCTATGATAGGTAGGAGCAGGGTGAGCCTGAAGTGAGCTTTTCAAAAGAGGACCCAGACATGCCAGCCCTAGTCCAGGCCTAGAGACCCGCACAGTGCAGCAGTCACTGGCATATTCACATCATGGTGTGATTGGCTCAAAAAGGCCTGGCCCTCCAACACCGTGGCACCTCCACTCCCCCGCTGTTTTGTCCTCCAGGTTTGTCCCCCTCCTTACGGGCAGCAGGTGGGCTACTCCTCAGGAGAGTGGCAGGCCCCTCGGGGCAATGTGCTGCAGAGCCAGCTGGTGGGCACCAGGGGCTGGCGGAGGCAACGGCCATACCCACAGAAGACCCGCCTCAGCATACTTCCGCTGCCCTAAGTTGCCGCCCTGCACCAGCCTCTTCCTACACATGAATGTTCACCTCTGGCCTAAATCTCCCCTGAGGTGGAGTCCCCAGGGGAGGGAGGCTCAGGGCTGCAGGTGGAGGCTTCCATACTAGGTGGGGTCAGGAGGGGGCTGCACTGAGGCTGGAGCTTCCCCCTGGTTTGGGCCTTTCAGATGAGGTGTCACCCTGCTCACACCCTCCCCACGCTCTGCCTCCCTCTGTACAGCTTGCTCTTCCTTCCTGGTCTGCAAGTGGCAGGGAGATGGGAGCCAGCAGCAAGGGGCCTCTGAGGCTGCAGAGTGAGAGGCGACACGCAGGTATGGCCCCACCATCAGGCCCAGGCATCTATGTTACCTCCTTCTCCAGAACTGTAAAGTGTTTGGCAAAGGCCAACTGCTCCCGGGATACGGGGTCACATACAGAAGGGAAGGTCCAGGTTCTGAGGCCAACTGCTGGTCCAAAGGGGCCTGCGCCCTTCTCAGTCCAGAGTCCACACTGGGGACATGTGCAGGATGACCAGCATCTGAGCAGGACAGGCAAAGATGAGGTCTTGCTGGAGGAGCCAGTGGGAACCCCTTGATCCAGTCTTCTGGTTTCAGACAGGGAGTGGAGGCTCAGAGAAGGGAATGAACTTGTCCAACATCTCAATGCCATTTAGTGCCAGAGCCAGGACCCACTGCTCCTCGGTTGACGCTGCTTCGCTGATAGGTGTCTAAGGAGCTGGCCTAGGCGTTCTCAGGCATGAGACCTTCCTGCTTAGAAAGGGATGGGATGGGGCAGGCAGCCTTGGTGGCTGAAGAAGCTCCCCATAAGGCAGCCAGCCCAGTTCCAGCCCCACTCTCAGCCCCGGTGCCCAGCATCCAGCCTGGGGCCTGGAAGGAGGGTCTTGAAGAAGCCAAGCGCAGGTCCACGGTTCCTGCCAAGCACCATTCCTTCTTGGTGCTTCCTGCCTGGAGCTGGGGTTGCTTCAGGGGCCCTGAGTCAGTGAGAGCTCCACAAAGGGGGACTCTAGCTCCAGGGTCACCCGGTTTCACTCAGAGGGACTGGTTCTGCAGCTCTGGAATGGATGTGGCCTGGCTACATTCAGAGCCAGCTGCCCACAGAATCTTGCAGAGGACTCCAGTGCTCCCTGATTCCCTGGGCCACTTCCTGAGGACCCTAGTCACGGCTAGTTCATCCTGTGGGGTGCAGACCACCTTCTCTCCCCTCCCCTCGCCAGCCCAGGGAGTCATCTGGGCTGGTCATTGTAATATCCTAAATTTACCAGCCTGGCCACCAAACCAACCCAACTCCAGGCCTAATCTGGCTCCCCCGACCTGTCCTCCTGCCGCTTCTGGTCAGCTGAAACTAAGGCTCAGATTTGATTCTGATAAAAAATAAAAATAAAAAAGAAACCAAAGTATAAAAGGATTCTAATTCTACCCCATGGGCACTCTACGATTTGTCAGCTTCACACATAATTGTGCTGAGTGGAGTTCTGACAACCCCACATAAGGCCCAGAAATGCACTTGATTATTTTTTTGTAGGAAATGTGTTAGAACTCCTCTCCCTATGTTAAAATGTGAATGGTCAGTCTCCCTCCACTGCAGGTGAAGCACTCTCCCAGGGGGCCCAGGACTGCTGGGGTCGGCGTGCTGCTCCCTGCAGGTGCAGCCGTGAGTCTACAGCCCTGCCCCTCAGCTCCCCGGCTGCACAGTGCTCCAGCCCCAGGCTGCTGACCACACTCACAGCCCCTTGTTGTACACCACTGTCCGGCTGCTCGTGGCCTGGGCTATCTCCGGCTCTAACTGGGATGTTTCAATCTGCAGAGAGAGAATAGAGAGGAAAAGTGGGGGAGTGGGAAGGGGCAAATAGTGGGGCTGGGAGCTACAGTGAGGACCACCCTGGGCTCCAGAGCTCTGCCTCTCTGCACCCCCATGTCCACCCCAGCCAGGGCTCACGTGCCCTACCTAGTGACACATCTTCCTTCTCCACTGCCCTCCCACCACGGAGCTCACAGCATCCCTTCCAGCCCAGACCCGGCCTCTTTCTTCTGACGGTGTGTCCACGTGGGTGGACATCCTACACATTGGCCTCTGAGTTCTGCATCTCCCTCATCTCCAAGAACCATGTCTGCCGCACTGCAGACCCCCCACAGCCCCACCCAGGGCCATCCCCTGGACCTGATCACCACCCAGGACTGCCCCACCTCCTTCCATCCAAACGCCACCCTCCTGGGTTCCTCAGTCCCCTATCTTTCTAGCACCCCACTCACTCCTGCTTCTCTGTTTCCAGTCCCCTAGACCTCAGCACCCACACTCCCACCACTCAGTCTTTACATCTTCCCCTGCAACCCGGACTCCGGGGGCCATCCCTTCAGCTACTCCCTAGCCCAAGGGTCCCTCCCATGCTGCTGGCAGAAGCTCTGCTTTGGAGAACCCCGCCATGCACCCCACTCCTACTTGAACCTGACCATGTAATGGACACCCTCAAAATTCCCTGTCCTCGACTTTGGCTGGACCCCCAACCAGTGGACAACCACCCTGCCCCTGCCCCCATAGCCAGGTCAGCTCCCTTGCCCACTCTCCAGAGGCCACTGGACACCTGCTCTGCTCTCCTCTCCTCGGCCACCCCAACCCCTGCTCCCACGCATCCCGGGCAGGTGAGACTTCCTCTTATTCAGGGAAAAAGCTGAAGGTGTCAGAGGAGAACCCCTCAGCTTCTCATTATCCAACACGCTGCCTCCCGTGTCCATGCACAGCTTTCCACTTGCCCTCCTCCTACCCCACAGCTGCCATCCCTCCCCTCACAGGACAGGACCCCACCTGGCTCCACCTCCCCTGCCCACTCCGGGGCCCCCTCCTGGGTCATCCTCCCTCTCTCCCACCTTTGCCCATTAGTGTTCCACACACAGAAACCTTCTCTGATGACACCTCCCCTTCATCCCGAGGCAGGCCCCGCTACTACCTGGTCTCTCTCCTCCCCAGCAGCTACGTTTCTTTAAAAAACTTAGTCTACACTGGCTGTGTCCACCTCCTTCCCTCCCACTGACTTTTCAACCCACAATAAATCTGGCTTCTGTTCTCACCACACTCCAGAAAAATCTCTCTCTCCAAGGTCACTGCCACCCCCCACTTCACGACACCCACTGCACGGTCCTTGGGGTCCTTGGGGCTGGGCCTGGCTGGACCCTCTTCTCTGCACATGCCCTGGGTTACCCCCACACCAGAGTTCTCCAGCCTTGTTTCTCCCTGGAGCCTCAGGTTCACAGCCCTGCCTGCCAGACTTTGCTGTGGACGTCTCACAGGCGCCTGAACTTAACCCACCTGAAATGGAACTGAACCTGCCCTCTCCCCCGGCCCCACTCAGCTCTGCATCTCGGGAATGACGGTGCCATCCAGTGGTGCTCTGCCCAAAGACTCTGGAGCCTCTTTGAGTCCTCTCCCCGTCCCTCCCCGTGAGGTCTCATCCAGCCCAGTCCGTCCCCAGCCACAGCCAGTGCTGGCCTTCTAAACTGCAAGTCTTCCCATGCCTCTCTTCACTGTGAAATGGCTCCATGGCACCCTGATCCTCAGGGATCAAGTCAGACTCCTGTACCACCCTGCCCCTTGGACTGGAGACACAGAGCACACGGACTGATTTTGGTTCCTCGCACACCCTGGGCTCTGTCCCCACTCTAGTCTTGCCTGAGTTGTCCAGAGACGCCCCGTCCTACTTCCATTCCTGCCCCCACTCTGCTCTCCCGTCTTCAGCTCATCATCTTTCGTGTCTCAGCTTTAGACACCTTCCCTCCCCCAGGCTGGGCGTGGCCACTTCTGTGGTCCCCATAGCTCCCTGAACTTCTCATATCCCCACCTCTCCACATTAGATCACAAGCTCCCTGAGGCAGCGGGCGTGCAGATCTGGCTCGCCCCTGCATCCTCAAAGCCTAGCACAATGCTGGTCCACGGTAGGTGCTCCCTCAGTGTGGAATACATGGGCAGAAAGAAAAGAGCCAGTAAGCACTGGAAGACGGGATCCCCCTGGAGATACCACATCAGCCCCAATGTTGGGCTTTATCTCTAGGGACTGAGCCCGTGGGGATGCCTGAACCCCCAACTTGAGGGGGGCAGGTGAGAAAGACACTACCACAGTGAGAAGGTCCCTGCCAGACATTTGCCCTGGACAGAGTCAAGGAGGCACCAGGCCTCTTGCAACATAGGTTGGTTGAACTTGGTTCTAGGCACCCGCCATATGTCAAGATGTGGCAACCCTGGGAAGTGGGTAGAAGGTGGTACAGGCCGGCCTGGCCTTCGGAGAGCTCTGTCACGTCCGGGCTGTGCACACTGGAGTCCACACAAGAGGGAGTGTGGTGAGGACTAGAGCTGGTGGGCACAGTGGGAGAAGAGGGGACCCTTCCTCTGTAGTCCCTGGTGCCCCATTACCCAAGTCTGGTCACCCGAGAGGGCCAAACAGAAGAGAGCTAAGCTGAGGGCCCAGGCCTCTTCCCCACCCCCTCTTCTCAAACCACCTTCTCCCACCCTACCCCTGCCACCCCCAGTCCCCTCCACCCTGCCGGCTCCCCTCGTCCCCACGCTGCCACTGACACAATGCACAGCGCCCACGCTTAAAAATCTAAATGCTTTTGAAAATGTTTAACCTAGTTAGACAAATTAGCAAAAATTTGTGCAAAACAATTTAGGTATTTAAAATATTCAATGTTTTTAAAAAACTGGAAAACTGTTCTTAGCTTTCAGCTGCAAAAACCAACAAAATATAACATCCCAGCAATCTTACCATGAGGTGTAACATAACCCTTCGGGAAAGCTGTTAAACAGCTACTGAGGCATCCTGGGAAATAGCACTTCATTTATTCAAATGCACATATGTCAGGCTTTTGCACCATATGTCATTCCAAGCTATTTACAGTAATAATTAAATCTTAATCAACGTTTAACCTCTGTAAAATGTTTGAAGAATCCTAATCACCCTTCAGACTGCACTAATGAAGGAGAAATATATAAACATAAAAGGAAAATGATGCATAGATATCACGCTGGAAAGAACAGTAATTGCAAAATTGTATTTCTTTTAAATATAATCAGTAAATGATGTAAAGTAAGCCAAGGAGTATTTTAAGTTAAGACATCTTGGATGTCAGAGGTGTGAGCAGCTAATTTTGTTCTGCTACCCATAACAGATGTAGCATATTTTATTTTAGTGCCATTATTAGCAACTTCCCATGCCGGCTTTCACTGAAGCACTGAGGCCCACATTAAAATCAGAGAGGCTGCTCAGCACCACCGTGGAGGACCATGGCCCAGGGCCACGGCCCACTGTGCCCACTCCCTAGAGCATGCTGGCCCGGGGGAGACCGAGGCCTCCTCCTCCTGGTATCCCGTCTCCCCTGGGCTCCCCACCACACACAGGGCAGCAGGTAGGAGCAGGGGGAGATGCAGCGGGTGGGAAGGCTCCTGGGGGAGGTGGCTGAGGGATCAGGAATGGGGGCCCCGGGACAGAGCTGGCATCCTAGGCTGCTTCTCTCATTTCAAGTCAATCCACCCTCATGTCAGCAGATGTTGATGGTTGCCAACTCCAGACACCCAGGCTGGGTACACAGAGCGGGGGACAAGACCAGTTCATGCCCTCGAGAAGCTTAAAGTCTAGAGAGGAGTTGGCTGGTGAAAGCAGATGGAGTCCAGAGAGACAAGCAGAGTGCCATGGCAACTGGGGAGGGGCCGGGAGTTCCAATGTATTGATGAGGCAACAACGAAGGAAGACTTCTCAGAGGAGGTGAGCCAGGAAGAGAATGGAGAATTTTGATCAGAAAGGGCAGGCCAAGCTTGCTGGGTGAAGAAAAAAGTATTAGCTGGCTAGCATGGCCTGTGTCTGGGAGGTGGGCAATGTTGGACATGGAAACGTGGCAGGAAATGGAGGTGCGGCTGGGACAGGCAGAATCTTGTATGCTACATGAAGATGTCAGCATTTTATCTGAGGGCAATAGGGAGCCACAGAAGGACTTTGAGCAGGAGTGGACCATAACCCAGACTGTTTTTATTTTTTATTTTTCTTGAGATAGGATCTTGCTCTGTCACCCAGGTTGGAGTGCAGTAGTGTGATTGCAGCTCACTGCAGCCTCAAACTCCTGGGCTCAAGCCATCCTCTTGCCTCAGCCTCCTGAGTAGCTAGGACTACAGGCATGTGCCACCATGCCTGGCTAAGTTTTAAATTGTTTTAAAAATTTTTATAGAGACAGGGTCTTGCTATGTTGCCCAGGCTGATCTTGAACTCTCGGCCTTAAGTGATCCTCCACCTTAGCCTTTCAAAGTGTTGGGATTACAGGCATGAGCCACTGTGCCTGGCCTTAGACTGTCTTAGAAAGGTCTCTCTTGGGATGGTGGGTGTGGAGGATGGACTGGAGGGGTAAGAAGGGGGTGGGGAGGCCTCCTGGGGAGCATCTGTGGGAATCAGAGAAGTGCCAGGTCCTGCCCTATGATGCTGCCAGTGGGGGCAGACAGGAGGAGCCTTTCTGAAGATGAAATCCACAGGAGTTGATGACCAATTCCACGTGGGGGTGAGAGGGAGGTGTTGAGGATGACTGTGCGTTGGATGACTCCTAATTCTAGCTCAGGAGCTGGGGTGGCTGGTGACGCCATTCTCAGAGGGAGGGAATATGGGAGGGGATGGGCCTGGGTTGGGGGTGGTAGGCTCAGGGTGGCCACATTGAGTCTGGGGTGCCAGTGTGCTCCCCAGGTGGAGAGGCCTGGAGGCAGATGGGTCCAGGGCTCTGGAGCTCTGGGCAGGAGAAAGCGCCCGGGATGTGTGAGCATAGCCAGAGCCTTCA